AGATGGAGAAGATGGGATTGAGAAAAGGGGGGATGATGATGATTCTGATCTTAGCTGCAGGAAGACATTGAATAGTCACATACACTGCTGTTGTTAGGCGCCATCTTCTCCATCTGTCATTTTTCTCTTTGACTGTTCTATTTTTCTTTCCCTTTTATCAATGGAAAAAAAATTGAAGTTGTCAAGGACTTCATTCTTCTTGGATCAACCATCAACACTCACGGAAGCAGCAGTCAAGAAATCAAAGGACATATTGCATTAGGCAAATCTGCTGCACAAGACCTTTTTAAAGTGTTGAAGAGCAAAGACATCGTCTTGAGGACTAAGGTGCACCTCAGCCAAGCCATGGTATTTTCAATAACCTCATATGCATGCGAAAGTTGGACAGTGAATAAGGAAGACCATAGAAGAATTGATGCCTTTGAATTATGGTGTTGGAGGAGAATATCGAAAGTGCCATGGGCTGCCAAAAGAATAAATAGATTTGTGTTGGATGAAATATAGCCAGAGTGCTCCTTGGAAGCCAGGACGACCAGACTTTGTCTTTCATACTTCAGACTTATTGTCAGGAGGGACCAGTCCCTGGAGAAGGATATCGTGGTTGCTAAGGTGGAGGGTCAGAGAAAAAGAGGAAGACCCCCAGCGAGATGTGTTGACCCAGTGGCAGCATCAGTGGACTCAAGCGTAGCAACAGTAGTGAGGTTGGCTGAGGACTGGGCAGTGTTTCATTCTGTTGTGCAGAGGGTTGCCATGAGTTGATACAACAATAAGCCTCCGTCCAAAGTGGCTCAGCTCTGTAGCTCTGTGTGTTGTGTCACCAAAGTCTAGTGTCACTGACAAGTGCTTCAAGGCACCCCACTCCACCAGGAAACCTTTTGCCCAAAGATGCTCCCTCCTTGGGTCAACACGCCCACTGGAACTGCGTTATTCCATGGGCCAGGAAGTCCTCTGTGCTGTCTCGCAATGGTCTCCTGGGTCTGCTGCTGCTGTTCCTTGGTTTCAACTTCTTGATGCTACATACCATTTCTTAGCATTACAACTTCCTGTCTGTGTCTCCTAAGTCTAGAAAGTTCTCAGTGCAGAGACCCTGGATCTAAAGGATGCATTCTACTCCTGGCTTTTCTTTTTGAAGAGTGAGTCCACCTCTTGCCTCGTTGATATGTTCCCTTTAAGCCTAGTGGGATGGCAAAACAAAGTAATCCCCTCATTAGGGTTCCATACACCTTATTTGCATGGTTACTCCCCCCGCCCCTGCCCTCCACACACAAACGGGTTCTAGGAAACTTATTTGCATTGTTAGCAAGCTGTTTACTTCCAAGCATAGTTCCAGTTTTGCTCAGTCAACAACTATGCCTAGACATATTATGTAATTCACTGCACCACCTGATAAGATTTGAGGCTTGGATCAATTCCATCCAATGGACTCATGGAACATGTGAACGAACATCAGTCACCATGACTCTGAGACCAGAAGAACTAGATGGTGCCCAGCCACCACTACCAACTGCTCTGAAAGGGATCACGTTAGAGGGTCTCAGATAGAGTGGGAGAAAATGTGGAACAAAACGCAAAATGATTTAAAACAAAACAAAACAAAGACTAGGTTTATTGGTCAGATAGAGGCTGGAGGAACTTTAGACTCTGGCCCTCGACCACTCTTCAGGTCTGGAAAGGAACTCACCTTTGTGGCCCAATTTTCAGCTAAGCAGCAGATAGGTTTATGGAGAGTGGGGGGCAACAACACTAACAAGGTATGCTCGCCACGAAATGGGGATCAATCTCTGAAAAGCAAAAGGGTAACATTTTCTTACAGACAAAGTTGAAAAGGGATGGGAAGGTGGGTGGAATGCAAATAGGAACCCCAGGAGGAAGCAGGATACCTGTTGTTGCATGGAGGGGATTGTAATCATTGAGATGAAACAAAGTGTTGTTGTTGTTGTTGTTAGGTGCCATCGAGTCAGTACTGACTCATAGTGACCCTATGCACAACAGAATGAAACACTGCCTGGTCCTGGGCCAACCTCACAATTGTTGCCACACTTCAGCCCATCAATGCTGCCACTTTGCCAATCCATCTCGCTCGGGGTCTTCCTCTTTTTCTATGACCCTCCACACTACCAAACATGATCTCCTTCTCCGGTGACTGGTCCCTCCTGACAATATGTCTGAAGTATGTTTGGCCACCCTGGCCTCCAAGGAGCACTCTGGCTGCACTTCTTCCAAAGCAGATCTGTTGGTTCTTTTGGTTGCTCATGGCACTTTCAATATTCTCCTCCAACACCATAACTCAAAAGTATCAATTCTTCTACGGTCTTCCTTATTCACTGTCCAGCTTTCGCATGCATGTGAGGTTATTGAAAATACCATGGCTTGGGTCAGGCATCTTAGCCTTCAAGCTGACATTTTTGCTCTTCAACACTTTAAAAAGGTCTTGTGCAGCAGATTTGCTTAATGTAATATGTCATTTGATTTCTTGACAGCTGCTTCCATGAGTGTTGATGGTTGATCCAAGAAGAATGAAGTCCTTGACAATTTCAATCTTTTCTCCGTTGATACAAAGTATACGGTTTTAAAAATGTAAAGCTAGATGATCCTGTCTGTAAACCTTCATTCAATTCACAATCAAAAGCAAGATTCGTACACTGAAAACTATAAAATATCATTGAAAGAAATTGAAAAGGACCTAAATAAATGTAAAGATAGCCTGTGTTCATGGATCGGAAGGCTTAGAATTGTTAAAATGGTGATAAGTTCTACACTGATGTGTAGATTCAATGCCATAAAAATTCCAGCAGCCTTTTTTTCAGATATGGAAAACTTGATCCGAAATTCACATGGAATTTCAATGGAACCAAAATAGTCTTGAAGGAGAACAAAGTAGGACTCACACTTCCTGATTTCAAAACTTAACTACAAAGTTATCATAATTAAGACAGTGTGGTCCTGGCGTAAGGACAGACACATCTATTCAATGGAAGAGAACTGAGAGTCCAGAAACAAACCCCTACTTCACATAGGCAATCGATCTTGGACAGTGGTGCCAAGAACATCTGATAGGGAAAGAACAAGGTGTTGGACAACTGGATATTCACGTGCAAAAGAAGGAACTTTAATCCAGACCTCCACCATGTGCAAAAGTTTTTCACTTAAATGAACCAATGACCTAAATATAAGAGCTAAATCCTTGCAACTCTTAGAAGAAACCATAGGGGTAACCTTTCATGATTTTGTATTTCTCAAAGGATGGTGGTGGTGGTTGTCTTTATGGGAGCAGAAAGCCTCATTTTCCTCCAACTGCTGGCCTTGAGGTTAGTAACCCAACACGTAACCAAGCAGGCCACAGTTCTCCTTTATCAAAAGATGAATTGTTGTGAAGTGCCGTTGTGTTGGATCTGACTCATAGTGACTCTGTATAGGGTTTCTGAGGAATGACTGGTGGCTTTGAACCATGGACCTTGAGGTTAGCTGTCCAGTGCTTATCTTACAGCGCCACACTAGGACTCCTTTATCAAAAGATCTGACACCTAAAACATAAACAACAAAATAAAATAGTAGAGAAACTGAACAACATCAAAATTGAAAGCTTTTGTGCTAAGAAAATGAAAAGGTAGTTGACAGAGAGGGAGACAATATTTGTAAACCATATATCTGATTAAGGGACTTGTATCTAAAATGGATATGAACCACAACTCAATCAGAAAAAGAGAGATGATTCCATTTACAAATGCGCAAGGGCTCTGAATAGAAATGTCTCCAAAGAAGATATGCAAAGGGCCAACAAGTACATGAAAAGAGGCTCACTGTCTTCACTGCTGTTGTTAAGTGCTGTCGAGTTGGTTCTGACTTATAGCGACCCTGAATAGGATTTCTCAGTAGCGCCTGGTAAGCTTGAACTGCTGACCTTGCGGTTCAAGCCGACTTTGCAGGCCAGTGCATTAACCCACAGCACTACACCCGGACTCCTCTACATCTTTAGAGAAATGCAAATCAAAATCACAATGAGGTAGCAGTTCCACCCCCACTAAGATGACTGTGACCAGAAACGGAAAATAAGAAGGGTTGGTTATGGTGCGGAGAAATTGGAACCCTCATCCATTGCTGGTGGGATTTGTGGACATTTGGTGATCCTTCCAAAACTTAAACATTGAGTTACCATGTTGTTGTTAAGTGCTGTAGAGTTGGTTCTGACTCATAACAACTCTGGGTAGGAAAACATGATTCTGAGTCAAGTATGTCAGACACGAAAGGACTAATCACATACGATCCCACATATACATGGTATCTGGTGGTGGCATGCCGTGGAGTCGGTTCTGACTCATAGGGACCCGGTATAGGGTTTCTGAGGCTGAAAATCTTTTTTTTTTTTTCTTATATTCCTTCTGGGTTTTTTTTTTTGGGGGGGGTGGGATGTACACAAAAACACTCAGGAATATATAATAATTTAAACAACCGAAGGGCACATTCTGCAAGCGGCTGTAAATCTTTAAGGGAGCAGAAAGCCTCATTTTTCTCTTGTGGAGCGCCTGGTACTTTCAACTTGCTGACCTTGAGGCTAGCAGCCGGACTCGCAACCACTAAGATACCAGAGTTCCTTAATCATTGTTGTTGTTGAGTGGCATCGAGTCGGTTCCGACGCATAGCGACCCTGTGTAGGGTTTCTGAGGAGCGGCTGGTGAGCTTGAACTGCCGACCTTGTGGTTCAAACGGACTTTGCAGTCCTAATGCCCACAGCGCCACACTAGGATTCCATATACGGCACCTAGAACCCATAAATTTCTAGAGACAGAAAGTAGCTTGATAAGGCTCTGGAGGGAGTGGGGAGTTTGGGTTTGGGGTATGAAAAGCGTTTGGAATGCACATTTTAATGGGTGAATGATGATATGTAAGTCAAGCCTTGGAGAGCCGCTCGCTAGGGAAGGATACGATGACAGGTGTTAATGACTTGGGCTGGGTGGCTATGTGCGATTGACAGCCGGCCTCCAGGGCTCTAGCCATCATAGGCAGCGTATCCCCAGCGAGAGTGGCCACTGCCCGTCCCCGCTACCCGCACCCCGCGTGCACCTGGAAGGAGTCCGAGGCCTCGGGTCCAGGCAGCAGGTGTCCCAGGCCAGAGATGCCTCCGAGGCGGGGCCTGAGCGCGCTCGCGCGGCTGGGGACGAGCCACCGCCTCCGGCCCTAGGGGGTGTGGCACGGGAGCGCGCGGGGCTCAGGGTGGCCATTGGCAAGCGGCGGGGGGCGGGGAAGGCGCGCG